TACAAAGCTAGGCTACAGTCAGCAGTTCCAGTTCCGGGACACCTGGCGCTGAGATGCGTGCAAAGGTGTATTTTTAATCAACACCTCGCAACAGTTTTCGCAAAGCTGAAAATTAGCAAAGAGCATGCGAATATAATGTAGAACCATAATTTAACAGTCAGACAAAGAAATACGGGGACACGTAGAGTCAGCGCGACTTTGAAGTGGTCAAAAAAATGATGTCACCGAAAGTGTTTTCGCATGGCTGAAATTTGGCAAGGTAATAGTAAAAACAATATATTTATTGAAAAAAACAGTCAGACACTTCTATGTCGGGACCCCGCCAGTCAGCAGTCGATTAGAGTGATATAGGTGGTAGCGCGCGTCAATAGGCATATATGCATGTCGAATAATAATTTCACCAAAAGTGGTTTCGCATAGCTGAAATTTGGCAAGGTAATAGTAAAAACAATATATTTATTGAAAAAAACAGTCAGACACTTCTATGTCGGAACCCCGCCAGTCAGCAGTCGATTAGAGTGATATAGGTGGTAGCGCGCGTCAATAGGCATATATCCATGTCGAAAAATAATTTCACCAAAAGCGTTTTCGCATAGCTGAAATTTGGCAAGGTAATAGTAAAAACAATATATTTATTGAAAAAAACAGTCAGACACTTCTATGTCGAGACCCCGCCAGTCAGCAGTCGATTAGAGTGATATAGGTGGTAGCGCGCGTCAATAGGCATATATCCATGTCGAATAATAATTTCACCAAAAGCGTTTTCGCATAGCTGAAATTTGGCAAGGTAATAGTAAAAACAATATATTTATTGAAAAAAACAGTCAGACACTTCTATGTCGAGACCCCGCCAGTCAGCAGTCGATTAGAGTGATATAGGTGGTAGCGCGCGTCAATAGGCATATATCCATGTCGAATAATAATTTCACCAAAAGTGTTTTCGCATAGCTGAAATTTGGCAAGGTAATAGTAAAAACAATATATTTATTGAAAAAAACAGTCAGACACTCCTATGTCGGGACTCCCTCAGTCAGCAGTCGATTAAAATGAATAGAATAGAATAGAATTTTACTCTATATATAATATCCATTTCGATGAATAATTTTATTTTTATAATTTAAATTATTTGGAATCGGAAACGGTAAAATAAAATTGTACATGCAGTTAAAAAGTTTGCGGTTAGAAAAAAGCCCGATTCGTATAAATATTACTTGACCATTTAATCAGCAGTACTGTGATAGTATACCTATAGTAAGTTTCATTAAATACTTATAATCGTCGCCGATTTTATAAAATACAAAAAAAAAATTCTAATCACATCTGCCGCTTCCCTTCCCCTAATCTCGACCTAACAGTACCATAATGAAGTTTCCGAATTCGAATGCATATACGCCTTATTCAAGTATACGCGCTTACGCTTGCAACTTACAGGTTTACACTTACTCATTAAGAGAAAAAAAAAATGTATTTTACCGTTTCCGATTCCAAATAATTTAAATTATAGAAATAAAATTATTCATCGAAATGGATATATATAGAGTAAAATTCTATTGACGCGCGCTACCACCTATATCACTTTAATCGACTGCTGACTGAGGGAGTCCCAACATAGAAGTGTCTGACTGTTTTCTTCAATAAATATATTGTTTTTACTATTACCTTGCCAAATTTCAGCTATGCGAAAACACTTTTGGTGAAATTATTATTCGACATGGATATATGCCTATTGACGCGCACTACCACCTATATCACTCTAATCGACTGCTGACTGGCGGGGGTCCCGACATAGAAGTGTCTGACTGTTTTTTTCAATAAATATATTGTTTTTACTATTACCTTGCCAAATTTCAGCTATGCGAAAACACTTTTGGTGAAATTATTATTTGACATGGATATATGCCTATTGACGCGCGCTACCACCTATATCACTCTAATCGACTGCTGACTGGCGGGGTCCCGACATAGAAGTGTCTGACTGTTTTTTTCAATAAATATATTGTTTTACTATTACCTTGCCAAATTTCAGCTATGCGAAAACACTTTTGGTGAAATTATTATTCGACATGGATATATGCCTATTGACGCGCGCTACCACCTATATCACTCTAATCGACTGCTGACTGGCGGGGTCCCGACATAGAAGTGTCTGACTGTTTTTTTCAATAAATATATTGTTTTTACTATTACCTTGCCAAATTTCAGCTATGCGAAAACACTTTTGGTGAAATTATTATTCGACATGGTTATATGCCTATTGACGCGCGCTACCACCTATATCACTTTAATCGACTGCTGACTGGCGGGGTCCCGACATAGAAGTGTCTGACTGTTTTTTTCAATAAATATATTGTTTTTACTATTACCTTGCCAAATTTCAGCCATGCGAAAACACTTTCGGTGACGTCATTTTTTTGACCACTTCAAAGTCGCGCTGACTCTACGTGTCCCCGTATTTCTTTGTCTGACTGTTAAATTATGGTTCTACATTATATTCGCATGCTCTTTGCAAATTTTCAGCTTTGCGAAAACTGTTGCGAGGTGTTGATTAAAAATACACCTTTGCGCGCATCTCAGCGCCAGGTGTCCCGGAACTGGAACTGCTGACTGTAGCCTAGCTTTGTAGCACTAAAATACTACTCATTCTGAAAATATGAGCCTTGCGAAAACTATTGCATATTTTCGACGCCAGCTCCTGGACTATAATAAAATCAGCTGGAAATCGGATTATTGTAGGAAATCACAGGTACCTAATCAATTGGGAGTGATATAGAATCCTCAGAAAAAATGGAAATCATTTGGTAATCATACAAAAATATCTGACAATCATTGGCAATCAGTCGCAATTGAGATTCATTGATCAGTGATTGGCGATTGCCAAATATGGAAATCATTGTACATTTGTGAGCATAGTGGTTGACCCTTTGGAAAATTCAAAGGCTATGAATCAAGGAAACTCAAGAGTCTAAAGTAAAGAAATTACAAAAATTGAAGAACCAGAAAAAAAAAAAATAATCAAGAAAATCGAAATCTGAAATAAAATAATACAGAAAATTGAAGATCCAGCGATAAGAAAAAATAAAATAAAATTAATGATGTAGAATAAAGAAGTACTTAAGAAAAATAAAAAATTCGAGAGCCAGGAATTAAAAATCAATAAAAACTTGAGAGTCTGCAAAACGGTTGAAACCAAATTGAAATCTTGATTAATAGGTTTGCAGAGAATCTAATTGGCTTTAATTAGAGCGTAATTGCGTTAAAATTGGATGAAAATTACCGGAGCTGTGAGGCAGAAACTGTCTTTCATGAAGTTTCTTAAATAAACTGGAACTTTATTGACATCAGTGAGGATATTGACATAGATGCAAAGTTTTCAAACTTTTTATTAACAATAACGGGATGTATAGAAAGTTCATTTCCTCTTAAAAATAAACCTAATTCCTGGGCTAGACTGAACAGACATGGATGGTTTACCCCGGAATTACAAATGAAGGAAAATATACAGTATCTGCATGAATTAAATCAACTTATAAACAATAACCAAATTGAAAAAGAAAAGAACAAATTACAGAGAACATATAAAAAACACATCGAAATTGCAAAAAAGAAAACAGTATAATGCTAGGTACATTGAAACTTTTTCTAATATATCAAAAGCTTGTTGGGATGTTATTAACAAACACAGAGGGTCGAAAAAACAAAAAAAAAGAGAAAAACTCGATGTCGACGCAATAAATAATTACTTTATCAATGTACCTCAAGAAATACATAAAAATAATAATACACCAAATAATACTGACTCTATTGAGCTTCCATCTCCCTGAACTTTTGAAGAATTTGCATTTAAACAAGCGACATATAATGATGTTTAGGAAATAATTAACAAAATGAAAAGCAAAGATTCCCGGGATTATTATGGAATTAGAATTATTTTAATTAAAAAAATAAAAAACTTAATAATACGTCCAACCACCCTCGCTGTGACTAGGCTAATTCACAAGATCATTGAAGGTTTTGAAAAAAAATTTTACGGATAGCAACTTCATACCCTTGCAAAAGATGGTCGCAACACAGGAAAACTTAAATGTCTGGTTTATTTGAAATAAATTGAAACTGAATGAACAAAAACGAAAACCTTTTATTTTACCCTCGATTTTACCTTTAAGAATACTTATGGACGATGGGATTATTGAAAATGAGAGTGTTGAATTTTTGGGATTCCGGTTGGATGGAATATGTATCAAAAAAGCTAACCACTAGCATCTACATTATAAGATCGTTGAGTGAAATTGCACATGAAAACACTGCTTTAATCGCTTACCACTCTATATTCTTGTCTCAGTGTTTGTATTGACTTTTATTGTGGGGTCGCTCTTCACATAGCAGCAGAATTTTTAGCCTGCAAGAAATCTTGAGGGTTGTTTTGTTTTTGGTTTTAAGTATCGTGAGGATGTTAAAAACACCTTCATTAATAAGAAATGACTAGCATTGCTTTCCTTATTCATATTTGGATGTTTAATGTATGTTAAAGAAAATTTGGATGAATACAGCTTAATATCAGAAACACACAATCACCAAAAAAGAACTGCTTCAAGCATCAGGTTACCCTTTACCAGGTTGGAGCACTCTGGGTATAGCAAAAACTACTATGCCCCAATGTTTTATAATAAATTGCCAAAAGAAATAAAAGCCCTGAAATTGAGTGAATTTAAAACTAGAATTAATTTTTACTTGTGTCAAAACGCTTTTTATAATGTATTAGAAACATTCTTATGATGTAGAAACGTTCTTTATTAAAAATAACAGGCTTTCAGATTTTTGCATGGATGTTTGAGTTTGTCTTGCTTAGGTTGTGTGTATTTTGTGACGTACAATTATGTTTTTATTTGATTTTGAATTGATTTTGATAATTTTTATTTGAATTTTATATTTGTCTAGCTAAGTAAACACAAAGTTCCTACAAAAACCATCACAATACACACATACACACACAATATACCTACCAAATGGTTTATCTCAGTCTCAACAGCCTCATCGTTTTCCGATTTATTTCCCTGCGATGGCCTCATCTGCTCAGGTTTCAAAGGCATCTCGAAATCAATAAGTTCTTCCTTCAACAAATTCCTAAACCCTCTAGTAGTTGGTGTAAGCAGCACATGTATATCCGAATAACCGAAAATACCAGCCGCTCTGAAAAGTGCTGTAAAATTGTTAGCACAAACATAAAAATAAGGACATTGACGAGTTCTGATCAATTGAAACAAAGATTTTAAACTGTCCATCCACGTTTCGTAAAGGCTTTTTTTGATCTCTTGGATTCCTGCTAGGTTTGTTGTTGAGCTGTTGTTTTTTAAGGTGCTTCTTGGAAATAGCGTTAACCAAGGTAGATATGGGTGTTGCCAGTACAAGCAGCATTGGTGGAATTTAGCATTGGGTGATACATCTAGAGAGGTGCTGCATTTTTCGATGTCTAAGCATCGAGTGAAGCTGGTCACTCCAGAAGCTTCTTCACCTATTTTGAGTATTTGGCTCCATTGGAATGGTTTTTTTGAAAAGAGCCGCATTTTTCGTTTTAGTGTCCAATCTACTGGACACCAAGGGGATCCTTGATGCTCCTTTTTCACTTGTGTAGTTGCCTCAGCGTTTGAGGCTAGGATGTTGGTAAAACTAGTTACTGAAGTGTTTTGAGTTTGAGTATTGCTAGTACTTGCCGAATGACTTAGGTTTAATATTTTAAATAATGTTTGGTCGGCACTTTCGTCTAATAGAAACTCACTTTTGGCTTTCTTATTCTTTGGCAGATTTTCAGTTGACTTTTCGAAAGGGTTTTTTCGCTTTTTTGAATTAAAAATATTCTCAAAGGCTGCCGCTTTGCTACTGACGCTAGCAGCCAAAGATTTGGATTGTTTTTGGCCATTTATTCGTTCTTGCAATGCTTGTTTTTTCAGTTTCAATTTTTGGAGTTTTAGAAGCTCCTTGGGGTGCTCCCATTTAGCTTCTTCGGCAGGGATTTTTGACATTTGGAGCACTTTTTTGGTAGTTACAGGAAAATTAGGGTCTTTCTTAAGTAATGTATCGACGTGAAAATGTACTACTAGTTGTGAAAATTATTAAAATTATAATTATTAATACCCAAACATATTGTGCAAAAAAGAATACAAACAACAAATTCAAACCGTTTGACAGCTGTCATGTGACAGTAACTTAGAGAGAAGTCATTATCGATACGATATATCGATATATATATATATACATCGAGAGGCCCTTGTTGATAGTGTCTATCGATACGAATTAGTAGCTTTGTTTTGGTTTTAAAAAGCATTTACATTGGCCGTTTTCGATTCGTAACCTGAACCGCTTTCTAGTGACAAATTTTAAGGTGCTCGACACCTGTAGCTTCAGACTCTGGTGCTCCAAACAACTGTTGTTTCACTGGAACGGACCCTACTTTAAGCGCCGTGTTTTTGATACATCCATAAAATTGCTAGTGTTTGAGAGGGCAGGGGAGAGGAAAAACGAACAGTTCCGGTGCGCGTAACTCTAATGCACTGGAACGCCTATAAACAGCCCGGGGCGCTTTAGAGCAGCTCAGGAGTGCTTATTGCTGACCATAGGTGGGTTCGGCTTGCTGACTCCGTGCGCTCCGAGTGACTCCATTCGCACTCCAGCCGTTCGGGTTAAGGTTCGGATATTGCTTTTCACCGTATTAGGGGTGATTCCATTAGCTCTTTTCACTCCACTCCAACTCCGCGCTGAATAGCCGAACCCAGCTCATATAAAGAGTAAAAAGCCGTATCGACATTAATTTCGAATGCATTCGCTGAATGCTCCAAAACATTACTGTCAAAATCAAAACCTAACCTCCAAAATGCCTTTGTTTTGATTTTGCATCCAAATATTTACATTTTATTTTTTTGTAAATTTTCAAAAATGAACCAAATTCCAGGTGAATTTCGAACACTAGACAACAAATCATTAACGCCAGAAGAAAAACATCTTTTAGAATGCCAAAATCAACGTATGGTAAGCGAGCACAAAGCGAATTTACTAGAAATCCAAGCGAAAAAACACTGGGATTTGTTTTACAAGAGAAACGAAACAAGATTTTTTCGGGATAGACACTGGACCACTAGAGAATTTACTGAATTATTAGACGAAACAAATCCTCAGCAAGAAAGAGTGTTATTCGAAATAGGTTGCGGAGTTGGAAATTTCATATATCCTTTGGTCAAAGACGAATTAAACCTGCAAATAGTTGCATGTGATTTATCACCCAGAGCTATTGAGTTTGTTAAAAGCAATCCCTTATACGACCCTAACAAAATCAAAGCTTTTGCTTGCGATATTACCACTGAAGAAGTCTTTGACAACATCCAAGAAAACTCTACAGACATAATCACTCTGATATTTGTCTTATCAGCAATACATCCAGACAAATATACCAAAACCTTACAAAACATTTACAAAATCCTCAAACCTGGAGGCGTGTTACTTTTTAGAGACTATGGCCTATACGATATGGCTCAATTAAGATTTAAGGCTGGCCATAAAATAGCTGACAATTTTTATATGAGGCAAGATGGCACCAGGAGTTATTTTTTTTCCACGGAGTCTATCAAAGAGATTTTTGAAAGGGTGGGATTAAAGGTGGTAGTCAATGATTACATGCATAGGAGAACAGTGAACAAGAAGGAGAATGTTGATGTTCCAAGAATTTTTGTACAAGTTAAAGCTGAGAAACCTGTGTGAAGAAAAACTGCAAATTAAGGGTATGTATTATACTTTAAGTATAAATGTCATAAAATCACTTATTTACTATACTTAGGTACCTACTGTAAAATCCTTGGTAAAATCATTTAGTATAGGTATTCACTTAAGTATCCACCTACTGAAGTTTTTCTTGTTGCGTCTTATAAGTCAACTTACTAAAATTCTAGAACTGGACATGGGTACAAAAAATTTGAAAGAAATTGAGATAAATATTCTAAAAGTGTGGAGTATTTTATAAGGAAAATGAGTAGGTGCAGATTGATAAGTTAGCGGCACAGAGCTATTTAACGGCTCTAGATCGAACTCTAAATTGTGATTTTATCAGGTGCTTGAATGAAAACCGAGGGGTGCGCAGAGAATTAAATATGGTGTACACTTTGCTTTTAAATACAATTTAAATCTGTTTAAATCTCGGTTTAAATATCTTTAAATGCCTAGTTTTTTACTTAAATAGCATTTAAATACCTTTAAATACCCTAATAATTAATTTTGGTGTACACTTTTTTAACATTTGCGCACCCCTCGATGAAAACTCTATTGCAAAGACTGCTTTTGTGATTCTAGACTTCCCGAGGGGTAAACTGCTAGCCAAATTTGTACACTGAATAGGTAGGTACATGGAGTACAAATACATAAGAATATAAGTACTACCGACAGAAAATATGCTGTCTTTGATAGAAAATAGTTAACCTAATAAATAATTAGTAGCCGTTGTTTTTTACAAATTTTTATTAATTTTTCATCTATTCCATTTTTTTTTCTAAAGTGTAGTTTTCTTTCTTTCTTTACAGCTACCTCCGGAGGTTTATTTGACTATACATTTTTTGACTATCTGAGCTGATTTAAATTATTTTTTTGCTCCTGAAGATGAAACTTTCTAGTTTCGAAACTGGTAGGGCTTTTTAAATCTAATAAAGATATAGGTACTTGTGGAGGAAGACTGGGTGTTTTTGTTTGAAATCAAATATATAACCCAAATAATCATTTGAATACAAAATCTCGACTCAAAAAAAATTGAAATTTCATCATTTTAGTACCAAATAGGTAAGTAATCTAAACTTATGATTTAGATTTTTGAAAAATTTGAAACATCATAACTTTTTTCTATTATAGGTAGTTCCAGAAATGCAATCGCGTTAAGCAATTTGGGGTATATTCGAGGGTATATTTATCAATTTTTCATTTCTCTCTTGTCCTTTTTTCATAGATTTCTGCTTCAAATCTCAGAATAATTTAGTGTATGGATTTTGGGGGGTCCCCAATGATCATTTAGACAACACACAAAATCTAAACATAAAAAAATTTGAAATTGCACCATTTTGATACTAACTACATTATGATTTGGATTTTTAAAAGCTTTGAAGACCCATAATTTTGATAGATCATAACTTTTTTTCTAATATAGGTAGACAGAAAGCTGAAATTTTCAGCGATTCTTATCCCAGTAGAGGACTACAATCCCTGAAAATTTCAGCTCATGTGCACTTATAGTTCCAGAAATAAAATCGTGTTAAGCAATTTGGGGTGATTTATCAATTTATCAATTTTTCTGAGTCCCTTTTTTCATAGAATCCAGCTCCAAATCTCAGAATAATTTTGTGTATAGAGTTTGGGGGATCCCAAAGGACCATTAAGTCACAAAATCTCAACAAGACATCGTTAGTACCGAGGTAGCTACCCTACGATTCAGATTTTGGAAAACTTTGAAAGGTCATAACTTTTTTTCTATTATAGATAGAAAGCTGAGACTTTCAGCGATTCTTATCACTTATCCCAGTAGAGGACTACAATCTCTAAAAATTTCAGCTCAATTGGACTTATAGTTCCAGAAATAGAATAGCGTTAAGCAATTTGTCGAGCAATTTGTGGTGCAATTATCAATTTTTCAATTTCCTGAGTGCCTTTTTTCATAAATTTTGGCTTCATATCTTGGAATAATTTAGTGGGTGGAGTTTGGGGCTTGGGGATCCCAAAGGATCATTAGAACACAAAATCTCAACATAAAAAAATTTGAAATTTCCATCATTTTAGTACTATGATTTAGATTTCTGAAAACTTTGGAAGGCCATAACTTTTTTTCTAATATAGATAGAAGGCTGAAATTTCCATTGATTGTTATCCCAGTGAAGTACTACGATTCCCCTTATTTGGACTTATAGTTTCAGAAATAAAATAGTGTCAAGCAACTTGGTGTGATTTATCAATTTTTCTGGGTGCATTTTTTCATAGAATCTGGCTCCAAATCTCAGAATAATTTATTGTATGCAGTTTGGGGGGTCCCGAATGATCATTGAAACACAAAATTTCAACATTAAAAAACTTGAAATATCATAATTCTAGTACTAATGTACCTAACTACCTTATGATTTGGATTTTTAAAAACTTCAAAAAAGCATAACTTTTTTTCTATCATAGATAAAAAGCTGAAATATTCCGCGATTCTTATCCCAGTAAAGGACTACAATCCCTGAAAATTTAAGCTCATTTGGACTTGGTCCCGCACGATTATTTAGACACAAAATCTCAACATAAAAAAATAGAAATTTCATCATTTTAGTACATATCTACATAGTAATACCAGTACATATCTTATGCATATGATAAGTACTTACAGTTGGTACCTACATAAAAAAAGTAATGATAATTGTTTGGAAACTAGGCTGAAGCATGTGAGGGAACAAATGGGTTTAGGTGTCATAGTGACCTATAATCTGAAATGGGAGATGCACGTAACAAAAATAGCCAAAAAATCCAACTCATATATATACCTTGTAAAAAAGGCCTTTGAAGCCCATTATAAAACTGTATGAATCTTTTGTACGTCCAAAACTACAATACGCCCACTCAGTTTGGAATTCGTACCTCATAAGGGATATTGAGATACTAGAGCGTGTGCAGAGACGAGGAACAAAGATTCCACCATCACGCCGTGATGGAGATTACCTTATTTCGACTATCCACTTTGAGACTCACTTCTTTGAGGGAAAGGCGTCTGAGAGGAGATCTCATCGAGACATAGAAGATTATTCGGAATGACTACTCCTGTAACCTTGACATCTTTACCTTCAATGACAACCCTCATCTACGAGGTCATACTTTGAAGTTGTGCAAGGAAAAAATCGCCAAGCTTCCTAGAAGGAACTTCCTAGCAAATCGAATTGTCTACCCATGGAACAGCCTGTCAAATTCTACAGTCACCGCGCAGAGTTTGAATTCTTTCAAGAATAAGGTCGACACCGATATGATCGCATTATTTCAAGTGGATATTCATTATGGACAATAACTTATCAAAAACACGACGATAAACTTCCAAGTAATCTAATAGTTTCATGAGTGTAAACTGTTTACTATTGTACCATAATAATAATAATAATGTTTTTCAACATAGTTCGGTTGGACTTGGCATTTTGAATTTGGAAGGGGAAACAAGGTTCCTCGAAAACCGTTCTGAAATTTAAAAAAAAAAAACAAATTTAGAAGATAATTAGCTGAAAGTTCAGGCTATCTCCTGGAGTGTCATTAATGCGCCCATTTTATACTTTATTGGCGCAGGCGACCTACAAACATCGGAATCAATAATGGTCAAAAAGTCAATTTGCCACTTATGGTTTTTGGCACCATTCGAAAGAAAATTGAATTCTACATGGCGTTACTCAAGTATTTCCTAGACCTAACTTGATTCGTTATCGAGTTATACATAAAAATCGAGAAATCCCATAACGTGTCAACATAGTCCGCTGGAATGTTCCATTTTCTTGAAGACATGGTAATTTGATAGTAGAAAAGTTGACTTTTCATCCACAGTAGTCATGATTTGTGTGGACATCAAACTTCAAAACAGGATCAGAAATCGGATTGAGTCCTTTTCATTATTGTAAGCAGAGCTATTATTGGGGGTTGAGAGTTTTTATTTGAGAGAGTTGAGATTGTTCAAATCAAAATAGGAGAAAATGGAATTTTGGCAATGTCGCACCTCCGCAATATATATGAAAAAATTATGAATGCTCTAAAGAAGCAGCTTCAAGATGAACACGAGTGCTATTCATAGTCAATCTCAATGCCTCTCAATGCCCTCACTGGAGAGAGATTTGACGATTTTTCATATTTTTTAGAACTATCATTTGGACATTTCCTCCCCCGCTGGAAATTTTTAGTTTGCAAAAATTTCCATTTCATAGTCAATTTCTTGCTGCGGACCATGAAAGGAGTTTATGATTTTTCAAGAACAGAAGCAGAAGCAGATGAAGTTAATGATAGTTTGTTGGGAGTCCCTAAAAGATATATATAAGGAACGCGGAAAATTCGTTAGATTTTTATAGTGAAATACAGTCTAAACGCTGTTATAGGTTCAGCAAAATTGAGTCTTGTACGTGGACAATTACAACATAACATATTAATCAGAGAGGTTTACAGTAGCCCCTTTGCTGGCTTTATTATGCTTATTACGGTTCTTAACAGGGATGGGTATCTACGCGTAAATAACCTTTAAGGTTATGTTTCTGTTTTTGCTCAGTTTTGTTTTTTGCTTTGTAAAGTTATTTAAACCACGGATAAATGTCTAATTTGATTCAATATAAATTTAATGCAATGCAAACTTTCAAAAAAAATATTCATATTTTAAATGTTTTGTTGTCTACATTGTCTACATAGTTTACATAGTCTACATGGAAAAAAGTGGATGTAAACAATACGTAGACAACGAGTAGACAAACCACGTAAAGTAGATTTCATAGTCTACGGCACATCCCTGGTTCTTAACAACTGAAAGCTTCCAGGTGAGAATTTTCATTTATCAATGATTTCTACAATTGAACTGATATCAAGTTCATATCACTCACTTGAATATTACGCCAAAGGTTCTAAAACTGTTGGCTCCTAAACTACTTTTCGCAGTTTCATGTCCATTTGTTGTTCAAAATTAATACCTCAAGCTACTGGACTATTAAAAAAGTTTCAAGAATTATAGCATCTGAAGCCCG